GGGCAGTGTTGCGTCTATGGGCAGTGTTGAGTCTATGGGTAGTGTTGAGTCTATGTGCAGTGTTTAGTCTATGGGTAGTGTTGAGTCTATGGGTAGTGTTGAGTCTATGGGCAGTGTTGAGACTATGGGCAGTTTTGAATCTATGGGCAGTGTTGAGTCTATGGGCAGTGCTGAGTTTATGAGTAGTGTTGAGTCTATGGGCAGTGTTGAGTCTACAGGCAGTGTTGAGTCTATGTACAGTGTTTAGTCTATGGGTAGTGTTGAGTCTATGGGCTAGTGTTTAGTCTATGGGTAGTATGTATGTTGAATTTATTTCACACCATACATAGCCGACCATTTTAGTTGCAGGTACAGTGTAGAGACTATGAGCAGTGTTGAGTCTATGGACAGCGTCGAGTCTATGGGCAGTGTTGAGTCTATGGTTAGTGTTGAGTCTATAGGCAGTGTTGAGTCTATGGGTAGTATGTATGTTGAATTTTTTTCACACCGTACATAGCCAACCATGCTAATCGCAGGGGCAGTGTAGAGTCTATGGGCAGTGTTGAGGCTATGGGCAGTGCTGAGTCTATGAGTTGTGTTGAGTTTATGGGCAGTGTTGAGTCTATTAGCAATGTTGAGTGTATAGGTAGTTTTTAGTCTATGAGCAGTGTTGAGTCCATAGGTAGTGGCGAGTCAATGGTAGTGTTGGGTTTATTAAATATCTGCAACAATGGATTGTGATGATAATGATGATAAATGTTCTCCAGAATAAAAGAGCACGTAACGAATCAGCGTTCTCCAGGGTCAATGCTAAGTGAGCTCTGCCTGTATTCTTGACCATCTATAATCGTCCCTGATAGCCACGAAGATGATTTATTAACCAGGTAAAACCCTAACTGCTTTGTAGTGGTTGTCGTCTATCATATCTGCCGGGTACTACTACACCACGCAGCGCTCGCCCTCCCCCTACCCCACACCGAGTAATGCCGGCTCTAGCAAGGCACTGCGTGCGATGCACCATCATTGCGGACACCCTATAGGTGGCTGTCGTACCAGCCCTAGTGAGGGTTTGGTGAGTGCTGGGATAGCGCAGTGGCACCACGCGTGGCGTGCAGTGCTATCTCCCACCGGAGGGAGTGGGAGGGTGTCAGCCCAGGGACAGGGTTACCCTGGGCCATGGCACTCTGGTTGACCCCGACGGCACGTGATCAATAAAGTCTACAGGGGGGCCCCAAGGTGATGGCTAAGGGGTAGTCACGTGTCCAGGGAAAGTTGTCTCAAGATGAGTCGAGAGAGAGCCAAAGCTTTCTCGAAGGTTGGAGGGGCCAAGGGACGAGCCGGGTCCCCGGAGGGACCGGGGTTCGTTGTTGCTACCGTCATCTGAAGATCGACGTTCTACGTCCAAAAGAGTCTCCAACACGTGGTCCGGAACCCGAGCCGGGGTCCGGTCCATTGTTGCTAACTCCCAGTGTGTTCGTGTAGTTAGCCGGGTGGTCCACCACCCTAGGCTGTTATCTGGTAAAGGGGCAGCTACCCCTTTGTGTATTCGTGTTGGTGTAATAAATGTTTTGCCTCTAAGAAATACGTCTTAGACTCAGTTGGGCCCAATACATATGCATATGAGTCTCTACGTGCCTCTCTGTGAGACTCTGTGTATGTCTGAGTCTATACGTATGTCAATGGGTCTCTATGCATGTCCATGAGTCTCTATGCATGTCCATGAATCTCTATGCATGTCTATCAGCTTCTATGTATGTCTATGGGTCTCGACATGCCTCTCTATGAGTCTCTACGTATGCCTGCGTTTCTATGCATTTCCATGAGTCTCTACATATGTCCATGAGGCTCTACGCCATTGACAAAATGGCGGCCACTTGCTGCGCCGTGCCCGCGGCGGGCGAAATGGCGGCCGCTTATACGGGGCAAGAAACCCGCCGGTTCCCGCGCTGGCACGGCGGTCGAAGGTGAGCCGTCCGCCTGCAGCCCCTGCATTGCGGCTCCTCTGGAGGGGTGCAGCCGACTCAAGTTTGACGACCAGCTGCGTGGCAGAGGAGATTAGGTGTGCGAGGTGGTCGGTGAGGTCATGCCACCCCTCGTCGGCTGGTGGCTGCGAGGGGCCGGCGTTCTGCTCCCGCTGGTCTGCAGGTGCCGCAGCCTCGGGACAGATGGACAGGGTCCCGGATCACGGGGCTGCTGAGGGGCTGACGTTCTTCCTTTTCGCTGCTTTTGAAATGACGAATTTTCTTTGTCTTAGCACTTCTGACACCAAATGTAGTGACTCAACTCGGAGACAGTAAGACTTGGAGGCAATGATTTTATTTAACGAGCACCATCGGGATAATCCACACCCTACGTGAGTACACACAATCACTGTTGCTAGCCTATACACAACACTATGTGGGTACACACAATCACTGTTGCTAGCCTATACATAACACTATGTGGGTACACACTATCACTGTTGCTAGCCTATACACAACACTACGTGGGCACACACTATTACTGTTGCTAGCCTATACACAACACTACGTGGGTACACACTATTAGTTGCTAGCCTATACACAACACTACATGGGTACACACTATTACTGTTGCTAGCCTATACACAACACTACGTGGGTACACACTATTAATGTTGCTAGCCTATGGACAACACTACATGAGTACACACTATTACTGTTGCTAGCCTATACACAACACTAGCCGTCTAACACTGACGCCGCTGAGCGGAGACAGCCAACAACTATCTAGCAGCGCAATATCGAGTGAAGATCACAGCGACGGTGGCGACGAGGTGGTAACGACGACGATCTTGAAAAGCACGACGGGGATCCCACTTCCAGCAACAGCCACGAAGTCCCTCACAGAGGCTCCTCTCATACTCTTAGCATGGCCTCGGTCCGCTTCGGCCATGCCCCCCTTCTGGAACCTACTTCCCGATGGGCCCCCCCTCTGTGACCTTTCCCCTAGATGTCCCCCTCTCACGTCTATCGTGGCCTGGTGACGTTGTTACTGCCATACACCGCAGTTACCCTTTACCTACAGCAGCCAGCGCTATGCTACATAATGACACCTTGCCGATATTAACTATGTTAACCTATTTGTATTTTTTTATTTCAAATTATATCTTAAAGCTATTTTATATTCGATATTTATTCAATTTTATATACTTCAGCCCCTTGGTGTTAGTTAGACTTGTAACCCTTATTATTACAGTAAGACTTGTTTAAAACTTATTTAAGATTTTAGATTCCTATATGTTGAATGTATGCACCATCCTGCCAAAGTAAATTCCGTGTCGGTGTGAACTTTCATGGCGAATAAAACCCTTTCTGATTCTGATTCTGATGTGTAGTGACATCGCGGGATGTCACTGTGCAGTGCTGGCCCTAGAGAGGCACGGCGTGCGGTGTAACGACATCGCAGATACCAAAATGGTGTGGGTGTAGAACCGGCCCTAGAGGGGCCCGGTGAGCGCTGATTGATAGTGTTGGATGGCACCACGCTTGGCGTGCAGTGCCAACCCTACAGGATAGGGTGTGGGAGTGCCGGCCGTAGGAATGTGGTTACTAAAGGCCATGGTACTCTGGTTGACCCGAGAGGACACGTGACCAGTTAAGTCTACAAAGGGGCCCCAAGTGGGGGCTAGAAGGGTCACGTGGTTGGGATCCAGATCCTCCCCGAAGATTCTGGAAGGTGGCCGTGGCCAAGCGCGGAGCCAGCCACGCCGCACAGAATATAAGCCGGGTGCCGAGATGGACCAGGGTTGTTGTTGTTCATCCTGGAAGAAACCTTCGTCTACAATCTACATTCTCCGTTCAACGAGACTCCAACACGTGGACCTGGACCCGAGCTGTTGGTCCCGGTCCATAGTAGAAGTTACGTTGTACCTAGTGTAGTTATCCCTGTGTTAAACCACCAAAGGTTGTTATTCTGTTAAGGGGAAGTTAGCCCGTGTGTTGGAGTTAAATAAATGTGTTGCCTCCAATTCTACATCTGTGACTCATTTTCACTCACTAGACATGTACATGAGTCTTTACGTGTCTCTCTATGAGCCTCTATATATGTCAACGAGTCTCTATGCATATATATGAGTCTCTAAGCATGTCCATGAGTCTATGCATGTCCATGAGTCTCTATGCATGTCTATGAGTCTCAACATATGTCTGTGAGTGTCTATAAGTATCTATGCATGTGTAGTGTAATAGCGCTGGAAAGCAGCGGCAGCTGTGGTGGACAGACGGTCCACACGCCGGTGAGCGTGAGCATGTTGTGTGTGTAATGGCAGAGTAGAGGACCCCATCTGGAGGCCCCTGGGACCTGCTAGCGGGTTCGAGAAGGGAGGCGCGGTTAGGACGGTGCAGCCAGGCCGCTCTGGGAGCATAAAAGGAGCTGAGAGCGGGGGGCTCGCGGCTGCCGGTTCTGGGAGTGGACTCGTCTCGTCGTCGCTGATCGTCTCTGCTAGATATTGCCCTACGAAGGAGAGTAGTTGGCTATCTCAGTCAGCGCCGTCAGCGTTAGACGGTTAGTGTTGTGTATAGGCTAGACTAAGATACTGCGGAGAGTGTGTGGACGAGACCATGAAAGTTGTTAATAAAGAAGGTGCCTCCTGGAAACTCTGTCTGAATCGTTGACACTACGAGCTTTAGCTCACTGCTCTGGGTGAGTGGAGTGGATAAGCCTCGTTGGGTGGGAGTTGGAAGGGGGTCTGAGGGGGATGGGAGGAGGGGCCAAGCACGTGCGTCCCCCCCCCGCGCCCTAATCTCGTGTGCTCGTGCGGAGGTGATTAGCATCAGGATGGGGTGGAGGGATTAGAGGTGGGGGTGAGGGGGATGAAGGGGGGGGGATGAGGGGAGGGGTTGGTGGTTATTAAAGGTGTGGAGACCGGGTGCAGAGACACACAGAGAGTGACGGAGAGAGAAGTGGAAACACGCGCGAAAGACAGGAGACACACACTGAGACGCGGGAAGACACAGGGGAGACACGCGCGGAGACACGCGGAGACACGCAAAGGGACAGCCATGCCCTCTCTCTCTGTCCCCATTCACTCGCTGACGAGCAAAACCTCATCGCAGCACCAGCATTGCGCGAGCTCCACCACCTCCCTGCAGCCCCTCGCCTCCTCGCTCTTCTGCGAAGAGAAGGGGGAGGAGGAAGGGTCCTTTGGACGTCAGGAGGAGGGAGAAGATGTGAGACGTGAGGAGGAGGAGGAGGAGAATGGGAGTTTGAGACAGGAGGAGGAGGACGAGGAGGAGGTGAAGGAGGTGGAGGAACAGGGGGAGACGTTGAGACAGCAGGAGGAGGTTCAAGATCATGAGACGTTAGAACATCAAGCGGATAAGTTGATGTCCCACGAACATCAAGAAGAAGAGGTGGTGGAGGAGGAGGTGGAGGAAGAGGAGGTGGAGACCTTAGACCTCCAGAAGATCAAGGAGATCTTCAGGCGCCGCGAATATCAAGACGGCGGCCGTGAGGAGGACGACGGCTCGACTGAAGGTCGACCGTCCGACGACGATGATGATCACGATGATGATCACGATGATGAGGATGAAGAGGCGAGTGAAGAGGAGGATGAGGAGGAGGACATCGTGAGGTGTGGCGCCCTGAGGCCCCGTAGGCACACGCTGCCCGCCAGCGAGTTCCGGGAGCTGTGCGAGGCAGACGCCACCAGCGTCTTCGAAATCGAGAGAGAAGGTGTGTGTCTTTGTGTGTGTCTGGGCGTGTGTCTGTGTGTGTCTGTGCGTGGGGAGCGGTAGTGTAGCGGTTAGCGCGCTGCGTTATGAACCTGGCGACCCGGGTTCGATTCCCGCTCACGGCCAACACCAGTGACGAATATCTGAACCGGTCCTGGGCCTCCCCTAGGTCGACTCAGCCTCAAATGAGAACCTGGTGCGGTGGATAAAAACATTACCACTGGGGAGACTAAGGCGGTCGGGCGTGGTGCTGGCCACCCACCCCCTCGTGAACCGTTCCGGCCTTCATAGGTGCTCGCTAACAGCACTTGCCCCTAGAGTCTGTTAGGGCTATACGGGGGATCTGTGTGTGTCTGTGTGTGTCTGTGTGTGTGTGTGTCTGAGTCTGCGTCTGTGTGTTAGTCTGTGTGAGTCTGTTTGCGTGTTAGTGCGAGCCTGTGTGTGTGTGAGTATGTGTGGTGTCTGCGAGTTTGTGTGTGTAGGTATGCGTGGGGAGTGGTAGTGTAATGGTTTGCGCACTGTGCTATAAACCTGGTGACACGAGTTCGACTCCCGCTCACGGCCAACATCAGTGACGATTATCTGAACCGGTTCTGGGCATCTCCTAGGTCGACTCAGCCTCAAATGTGTACGTGGTGCAGTCTGTAAACATCGCCAATAGGGAAACAAAGGCGGACGGGCGTGGTGCTGGCCACTCACCCCTTGTGTGCTGTACCGGCCTTCGTAGGTGCTCGTCAGTGACAGTTGTCTCTGTGCATTGGTCTGCCAGTAGGAGGGCGACGAGTGGGTGAGTTGGTGAATGGGATGAGTAAGTGGGTGATTGAGTGAGTAGGTGGGTGGATTGGGCGCCACGGTGGTTAGAAGATGTTAACTACCTCGCCTGGTAGTCAGGAGGTCATGAATTCGATCCCGACCCTGATGGCCGTATTTTTGGTATTTGCATGTCTCTCTCCCCGTGGTCGCGTGGATTTTTCTCCGGATTTTCTCCGGGGGGTTTCCCCTCCACATTTCTGAATCAACATGGGCTTAGAGTATTTGGCTGCTATACATTTCCACGTGATAATAATCCACTTTGAGAAAATGGAAAAGAGCCGCAGAGCTCGGTGGGCTTTCTCTGGTAAAATACAAAGTTTCGTTTCTTAAGTAGGTGGGTGGACAAGTGGGTGGGTGAGTGAATGAGTGATTGGGTCAGTTACTTAGTGAATGAGTGAGTGGGTGGATAAGTGAGTGAGTGGGTCAGTGAGTGAGTGAATAAGTGAGTGGGTGAGTTACTGAGTGAGTGATTGAGTATGTGAGTGGGCGGGTGAGCGGGTGGGTGATTGAGTGACTTGAGCAGAGGAGTGAGTGGGTGATGCAGGAGTTCGAGTGACCATGCTGACCGCGTCTCTCTACCCTCCACCTCCCCTGTCTCCCCGTGGATCGCAGCCTTCGTGTCTGTGTCTGGCGAGTGCCCCCTGCGCGAGCCGCAGCTGCGCTCGTTTCTGCGAGCGTGTCCCGAGCTCTCGCTCGGCTGGTTCGAGCAGGGACGTCTCTCTGCCTTCATCATCGCGTCGCGCTGGGACAAGCCACGACTGTCTCAGGTGAGACAGAGAGACACAACACACGGGCCAGGGAGACATACGGGCAGACACGCAGGGGCCAGTGGGTTTGTGCATGTATGGGTGAACTCCTTGGCACTGTACGTAGCCAACCGGAGTGCGCATAGCATTGTAGTGTATAGTGTAGTGTACATGTATAGTAGTGTAGCGTGTAAAGTAGTGTATAATGTATTGTAGTGTATAGTAGTGCAGTGTATAGTGTAGTGTAGATGTATAATAGTGGTGTGTGTAAAGTAGTGTATAATATATTGTAGTATACAGTAGTGTAATATATAGTAGTGTATAGTAGTGTAGTAATGTATAGTGTAGTTATATAGTGTATTATACAGTTGTATAGTGTGTAATGTATAGCAGTGTAGTGTATACTGTAGTGTATAGTTGTGTAGTGTGCAGTGGATAGTAGTTTGTATGTGTGTATGTTGAACTTGTTTGGCACCGTATGTAGCCAACCGCGCTAATCGCAGGTTGCGGGGGAAGGACAACAAATTTAACACAAAAATAAGCAGCAGTTCTATAGAAACGAGTTTGTCAATCTAGGTACTGATTTAAAAGCGTCTAGCTCCCAGTGGCATCCTAATATCCGAGGGAAGAGAGTGTTCCAGACGGCCGCAGAAGCAACAAAGATGGTCACTGGGGATGCGGTGACCGTCTTTGTTCTATGGCTAGCCGACGCTGCGAGGATGACCGGAGTTCGCGTGATGATCGTTGATGTATGAGCAAGTGGGTGTGTGGGTGGGTACGCGAGTGGGTGAGAGACACATAGATGAGAGGGAGGGAGACACGGGGGACACGGGAATACCATGGAGACGGATACACTGAGAGTGATGAAGAAACAAGGGGAGAGAGACACGGGGACACGAGGATGCCATGGAGAGGAAGACACGGGGAGTGATTAAAAGACACAGGGAGACACACGGGAATGCCATGGAGAGGGTCTCAAGGAGACCCGGGGAGAGACACACGGGGATTCCATGGAGAGGGAGACACGGGGAGTGATGAAGAGACATGGCAGAGACACATGCACAGCCACACACAGTCGCCCACACGTGCCCTCGACTCGTACTGTTCTGACCTTGTCTCTGGCCCCCGACTTTCTCCTTCTCTCTCCTCTCGTTCCTCCTCTCTCTTCCCTCCCTCCTCCTCCCGACCATCCACCCCACCACCCAACAATGACAACAACAGGAGTCGCTGGACACACACGTGCCGGGTGGCTTGTGCGCCCACATCCACGTGCTGGCGGTGCACCGCGCCTGCCGCCAGCAGGGCAAGGGCTCCGCCCTGCTGTGGCGTTTCCTGGCACGCCTCGAGCACGGCGGCAGAAGCGGGTTTGGCGAGCCGCGACGACCCAACGCACTTTCCCCCCTGGCCACGCCCACCTCGCCCGTGACCACGCCCACTTGGCCAAGGGGCACTCCGGCGTTTCCCACGCGGGTCAGGGACATCTCGACCACCGCCGCCACAACTGCAGTGGCTGCGGCTGTGGTTCCTCCTAGCCCTGCCGTGTACCCCAGGCGGGCGCTGCTCATGTGCGAGCGCGAGCTGGTGGGCTTCTACGCACGCGCGGGCTTCCGGGCGCTGGGTGCCTGCGCCGTGCACGTGCCCGGGCTCGCCTTCGTCGAGATGGAGTGGCGGGCGAGCCGTCGCGCACTCGGAGGGCGGAGGAATAGCGGCTGGTGATTTGGGCTGGCTGGCTGTCTGATTGGGTGTCTGGCTGGCTCCCTCGAAGAAGATGCTGCTGATTGGCTGCCAACAAAAGAACTCACCTACCAGCCACCATCACCATTACCACCACAATCACCACCACCCACTATCCACCATCAACATTACCACCACAATCACCACCACCCACTATCCACCATCACCACCCACCCACCACCACCTACTATGACCACCACCGCAACCCACCATAACCACCACCACCTACCACCGAAACCCACCATTATCATCACCACCACCCACTATCCACCATCACCACCCACCCACCACCACTTACCATGACCACCACCGCAACCCACCATAACCACCACCCACAACCACCACCCAGCAACACCACCACCCTTTGAAAACCCAAAGCCAGACTAACTGGCAAAACGGGTCCCAAAAATATAAATTAAAATGAAAAAAATACTTTTTTAGGCCAGACTATCGGTCATATACCTACTATAATCACCCAGGAATGTCTGCCCTTAACCCTTGTGACGTCACTCCACATCGACCAGCGACCCTCATTAATATTCATGAGCAGGTGACGTCCTCCAAATTGACACCCCTCCCCACATTTATAATAATTAGCGGCTGACGTCACTCCACATGGGGGGCGGAGGCGCCCTCACGTCACGCAATCTCTGTCACGCTGTTGAGACATCAAAGTAAAAAGGACGTCATGATGAACAAGGGATTATAACCTTAAAATGAAATAGGTCTGTGTCACCACGCCCTTACACATTGCACACAAATTGATGCAATGAATATCATGTCGTGGTCTGCTTTTTGCTTGCAAGTTTCAGATTTACTGCAATACACCTGTCCTTGGATGGGCAAAAGGCGAATTCTTTATAGAGAGAGAAAGGAGATAAGCCATAGGTCGCTATGCGAATCTATGGGTTTCTCTCTGTGAGTCTATGGGTCTCTGTGTGAGTCGATAATTCTCTGTGCTACTCTGTGGGGCTTTGCAAGTTTAAGGGTCTCTGTGTGGTTGTCTGCGATTCTCTATGAGAGTCGAGGGCTTCCGTGTTAGTCTGCGATTCGCTATGCGATTATACGGGCCTCTGTGAGTCTGCGATTCAGTATGCGATTTTACGGGCCTCTGTGTGAGTCTGCGATTCTCTATGTGAGTCTATGGGTCTCTGTGTGAGTCGATAATTCTCCATGCAAGTATGTGGGGCTCTATGTGAATCTACGGGTCTCTCTGTTAGAGTCTGCGATTCTGTATGTGAGTCTGTTATATATTGTACATAATAACACTGCTTCCCAACGCATCTAACATACATGACATACACCAACATGGTTATTTGGCTACATGTAAAAAAATTTCACGATTCACTTACACGATGGAACTGCAGAACATTTGATATGCATTATATATGTATAGTCTCTTAACTGCCGTTGCGGAAGAGTCCGGAGGATAATGTGAAGAGGCAATGTTCAATTGTAAATCTATGCGCGTCTGTGTCCGGAGATGTCTCTCCTAGTCGGAGCCGTGAATATCGGTTTCTGAATCTGTAAATACCCTCCCTTTGCGTGCAGAGGTGAATTAAACGGCGTGTCTTTACCATACCGAACGCGTGTGGCGCTCAGAATCGTGAATGTGTGTGCGGACTGTGTGAGGCTTGAGGTCTGTAGGGGGGTGTGGAGGAGGAGGTATAATAGATGGGTGGGGATCAGCAAGCGGGTGGGTGTGGCTTTGGGAATGTGTGTGAGGAGCTACGCGAGTAGTGGGCGGAGCTATGTGAGTAGTGGGAGAGGTTACACGAACAATAGGCGGGGCTTGCTGAGGAGTGGGAGCTTCATGAATAGTGGGCGGGGCTACCCGAATAGTGGGCAGGAATAATTGAGTAGTAGGAGGGGCTACATTAGCAACTACATCTACAGGACCCCTTTTTATACGTGAAAAAAGGCTTTTGAGGCTAGGTCGACCTAGGGGACGCCCACGACCAGTGCAGATAATCGTCACTGGTATTGGCCGTGAGCGGGAATTGAACTCGGGTCTTCCAAGTTCGTCCTGCTAACCGCTAGAGGACCACTCCCCACACACATAGACACACACGCATATACATAAACTAAGACACAGACACAACAACAATGGCGGCTGTGCCAGGCTAGGTGCACTTTGAAACCATTAAGTGAAAGTGTCCAAGGCTTGTCGCTGACAGGAGGTGATGGAACAGACCCAGCAGGTGCTATGGGTTGAGATGCACCACCTGTTCTTTCCACTGTGCCAGGCTCGGAGCAGGAGATCACGGGCCAGACCCAGCAGGTGCCATGGGTTAACCGACTGAGATGACTGGGCAGATGCACCACCACCAGCTGTCCTCATCACAGGACCAACTTTAAAGCCACCCGGCGCTCCGTTGATTGTTATGAGCGGCACTCCATTAATAGCCCTCCATTGTTGCTGGTGGGCGACTGCCTCCTACTGCCCAGTCACGTACATCACCAGCCTCCACCGTAAAATTCTGCTCGAGAGAAGCCGAACTTGACAACCGCTGGGGGTGTCCTTGCTGGATACACACGGAGATCCAAAAAACACAGAGACAGATACACAGACCCCCCGTATAGTCTGAACAGGCTGTTGGGGCAAGGGCTATCAGTGAGCACCTATGAAGGCCAGCACTGTGGCACACGAGGGGGTGGATGGCCAGTACCACGCCCGCCTGGCCACCTTTGTCTCCCCAGTGGCGTTGTTTACTACACACCACAGCATCAGGTCCTCATTTGAGACAGCGGCGACCTAGGGGAGTCCTGGGACCAGTTCAGATAATCGCCACCGGTGTTGGCAGTGAGTGGGAATTGAACTCGGGTCGCAAGGGTTTCGTATGGCAGCGCACAAACCATTCCATTGCCGCTCTACACATTTGTAGTGGGTTCAATTCAGGCACACACTGGAACTTTGGAGGCAACACAATTAATTAGCTAAACACAACGGGTAACTCTTAACAGAACAGGATAACGACATAGGGTGGTGGTAACCACCGTTCCTAACTTAGCTAACACACGGGGATACTACATTTCTGGACCGGAGACCAAGGCCGTGATTATAATATATATTTGGGGGGGGGGAACGACGACACACTCCCCCCCCCCCCCAATATTCAAATATGCTCAAAATATCCCCCCCCCCAATAAATTGCTACAATATATTTTTTGCTATGCTATGTAAATAAAAAGAACAATTTGCTAAACCTTGGCCACAATATCTGGACTTGTCTTCATATAAATCAATGCGTAGATTCTGTTTATATTATTGTGGTTATGGTTGTACTTTATTAATCCCTAATTTCTGCCATTACATACAATGAAACAAGAAATGGTAAAAAAGTAAAAACAGAGCAATGTAATACAAACACTATTAAACATTATTGTAAAAAATAAATAAAAACTCCATCCCATGTGTTAGTGAATTTTTAAATATTTTAGGCAGGAAATGAGTTTTCAAAATATAGATATTTTTCTGGGTTGGGACCCCCAGATACCCTGGAAGATTTGGTCCCCCCCAATGTTGACTCCATGGCTACGGCCTTGCCGGAGACCGAGGATCGTAGATGGTGGCTTCATCCCAGAGTTGACCCAGCAGAACAGTGCAGAACATCCCAGCTCTCCGTCCACACCCCGCTTATAACTGTGGTGCCGCCACAGCGGAGCCGCTCCGTCAGGGCCGTGCCCACCGCCATGACGCCGCCACCGAGGGGTGACGACGCCGACGCTGCGTGCCCCTCGCCGCCCCCCACATGAATGCACGCATACCTCATGTAGAGCCGGGGGGGAAGGTCACCTGGCCGACGGGTTTTCGTCCAGAACCCCCTACTGGGATCAAGCTTCATGGTTTCCTACGGCCGGGGAATTGGGCGACCTACCCCCGAGGCTGACGGGCACCGCGGCGCCGTGACCTTGGATTGTAATGGCATGGTCACGGCAGGGGCTGTTGAGCCACCGCGGATGGAAGCGCGCACACACAGCACGAGTCAGTAGGCTGATAGTGGGAAGAACAGAAGGTGGACGTCGAGGAGACCACTGCGGTGACGTCACCAGAGCTAGGATCCGAATATCAAGAGCGGGAAAATCCCGGTAGCGGAAGGAGCAGAAAGCGGACGTCGAGGGGACCACTGCGGTGACGTCACCAGAGCTGGGATCCGACTATCAAAAGAGCAGGAAAATCCGAGCCCCTGATTGGACGGGAGGCCAAGGGGGCAAAACAGCGGAACTCCTTTGTTGTAGGTAGGATAAAAGGAGGGGGATTCAGGCAGTAAAAACAGGAGTCCTTCAAGGCATCAGGATCAGCGGGGTGTTGGAGCCAGCCATTCGAGTCGTCCGTGTGACGAAGATCAACGCAGCCAGGCCCAATTCTCCACGGAGACGATGCACAGCATCGCCCTTCCACAGCTCCCGGAGCATCAGATTGGGAGTAAGCGTAAGTAAGGGAGAGGTGAGTTTGGGGCTGATTAATCAGAGAGTAGAAAGTGGAGCAACAGGCAGGATAAATTGAGTCCAGGATCCCCGAAGGATAGGCTAGTTAGTGTCTGTCGACCCACACAATCACGCGTAGTTTAGCGGGTTATTCACGGGGAATAAAATCGCCAGTAGAGGATAAACTGTGTCGGGTGCTCTTTTTGAGTGTGAAGAGGAGGGTGAAGTGCCTTGCGTTCGCGTGCATGCACGGCTGTTTACAGCGAAGAGGAGGGTGAAGCGCCTGGCGTCTGCGTACATGCGCGGCTGTTTAAGCGGCCTTTAAATCGGGGCGGAGTGACTCCCTCCAATCAGCGGCGCGCGCACCGTGGACACCCCTGCCCTCTAACCCCTAACCCCAAGTCCCTCGCGTGTGATTGGTGTACGGAGCCGGGCAGGTAGCGGAGTCGGGTTTGTTAGTGCCTGGGCACTAGGGCGTGTGTGTGAACGGATCCCGGGGGGCTAAGCGCCAGCCGCGAATCATGCCTACGCGGGCAGCAACAAAGTCGGGGGTACAGGGGGGCGAGGTATTGGGGGTCGGTAGCCCAAACCCGACAGAGCAGTCAGGGGGTAGTAGCGCGATCGTAACGGAGGAGTCGGGAGACAGCGGCCCCGACAATTTGGTGGAGGCGGGGGACAGCGGCCCCCACATAACCACTCTGGCTTGGCCGGCTCCGCCCCATGCCACGCCCACCTTCCAGATCCTTCGGGAAGGCCCGAACCCCAACCACGTGACTCCCCTGGGCCCCTGCCCCCCCTTTATCCGGTCACGTGTCCTGTTGGTTTCACGCAGAGTGTCATGGCCCGACACGACCCCCGTGACACCTGCCTACAGCCCCCATGCTGAGCCAATACAGTAGTGTCGTTCTGCTACACTACACATTCTCGTTCACACACACATGTAAGGGGCCGTCCATAAATGACGTCACGCGATTTTTGACGACTTTTGACCCC